CTACGGAATTGAAAAAAAAACGAAACGAACGGAAGGAAGTACAGTAATTGGATGCAAAAGAAACAGGAATGAGCGAGTAGCTTGCTGTAGCTAACCAATGCTTGGGTTTATTACTGAGACCCTCGTGAGTACTGGAAGATGTTTCCCCTGTGGACCGAGAGCGACGGAGTTAGCAGGAGCTCCTGGTTCTCAGTTCAGAGCCAAAAGAGGGCAGCGGCATTAACTAGCAATCGTTTTTTTCGTTTTTAAAAAGAAGATTATCCGTCAAGCCTTTGGAGAAGTATGCAACACGTAGTGAAAAAGTAGAAAGTCTCAATGATAAATGATTCAAGAACGGTACTACCTTCGAAAAACGGCTGTAAGAATCAGGCCGGATAACCACTTAGGGACTAGAGACCAGTGTCCCAAGCCATGTTTCAAAACTGCTTGCTCACCTTTGTGATTTCAGTCTTCTAAAGGGTGGCCAGACAATAAAAGAGAAACTATAGCAATCGAAAGTCTTGGAAATATGAGTCGTAGCGAGTCATAGCCAGATTTTCAGGACAAGCGAGAGTAAGGGCTTCCGCGTCTTCTCTGCTTCCTATTCCGCACCGGGCACCTTACTTTACAGCACCGTAATCACTGGCTCCGAAAAACAAACAAATTTCTCGGCTCATCCTTCCTTGACTACTGCTTATGGCAGCAAAATACGTTAAAAAGGTGCAATAGATAGAAGACTTGGCACCGCTATACATAAGCAATTCAACAAAATATGGCGAATATGGGAATTTCTCACTATCCCTTAGAGAGCAGGGGCAAATATAGAGCGTACGTGAAGCATTGCCAAGTGGGGACTTGCTATCACTGGATATATCAGAAGCGGTCCAGATAATGTTTTCTTTTTTCACGTTCCCACAACGTTTGGTGGTGAGCGCTTGGGGAGTGGGGTTTGGGGAGAAAATGCGCTTTTTTGACAGTTGAGCAGAACACTAGATTTCAAGTATAAACCTAATAATATGTACTGTGAATAAGTCTTATGTAACCATACCCTAAAAGGTTCAAGTAGGATCAAACAGGCATGACAAGTAATTTGTTTCTATGACCAGATGCATGGCCCATATCAGGAATATTAAGACACTACGACAAACCTGACACCAACGAACATCGGAGATGGCTTTAATTACCAAGACAAATGAAAAGGGTTTAATCGTGGGCTACACTAAGCTCTCTAAAGTCACGTTCGATGATAAAGGAATGTACCCAATGGCGTTGAAAAAGGAGCTATAAATGCGAAGCGGTAGAAAGAAAAACGAAAAGGACATCGCTAGACATCTAAAATCACTTTTATCAGCTTTCAGACAGTATTTTGAGTTATTTGAACTTCTGGCAAAGGCGGAGAGAATGGAATTGCCAAAAGCAGCTCTTGCTTCTTGTTATCACGAGCTGTTCGACAGATTTTGATCAGTCACGTAGCCCTATAGCGCTAATATCAATGCTGAGTTTTGACCTTATCTGACTACAATAAATTGGATCTCGCCATCGCCTAAGTATTGTCTTGAATGTTCAGAGGGAATCGAGCTATAGGAGGGATGTAGCAGTACAGTACCGTATTTACAAACGAAATATAAAGCACAGTTTACCATAAAATGATTTCTGACTGCTCGTTAGGACGAGTCTCATGCTGTAAGTATGTCGTGAAGGACGCTGTGTAGAAAATGGCCCGGAAACAGCTCGAATAGGAGCGTCAACACTCAAAGGTGGACGTCTTTTGACGCTGTTGTTAAGACCGCACAAATCACAATGGAGCACTCATGTTGATAATTCAAAAAACTGGAAGACATTTTTTGGCATTTTTGGTCTGGTTTAGCCACCTCTAGGAAGTTGCACTCGAATGAAATCTCGTCCAAACACTTCTTCCATATCATTTCCATCAGAGTAATCTCGTACACTCCCTATTTCCACAAACCTTGTAAATAGGAGTTCTACTGATCTTCACTGCTGGTGATACACTAATCTCCGCTCACACTTCCGCTGTTCAGCTCAAAGGGGCCCTTGAAATTCGTGGAGATCGCCTCGTCAGCGACCAATGCCCCTGATAGAAGAGAATGCTCCTTTTAGTGAACCATGGAAGGTCCTATTTCCAAAAATAAACAAAAGTTCAATGAGATGAATGCTACCTTCTCTATGTTATGCTCACAGAATGTTAAGGGTTGTGTAAAGGGGTTTAGTTGGTAAATAAGACAAAAACCAATAAAATATTAAAACAAAGAGCACAGCATATTCATAAACACCAGAATATGAGAAGGTCGGAAGAGGTGTGGCATGTTCATGGGAGTGAAGATTGAAGGAGAATCAGTAACGACCCCATCAGCCGACTGTGAGTTTTTATGCTATCTCATACCAATGAACGCGACTGTGAAGCCAAGAAAAAACGATTGAACCCATTAACTCGACGAATTCATGTACTCGCTGTCGTAGTGCACGTCGTCAGCAGATAGAAAAGAAAACAGCCGAAGAACAATGATATCGGGATGTTCTGACAGAATGGGACGACACATCCTTCCTGATATGGTGATAACTGCTTTGATAGCACAATTCACGTCATATTGTAATCGTACTGGTTAAATAGCTAACAACGGCACTTACCAGAAGGATTGCGTCGGGCTGACTGATAAGGCCAGACGAAAAACTCGTCACAAGCACGAATCATAAAAGTGATTCACAGAAATGACGACATAAATCATTAAATTAGCCTCTGCACGGCTTGAATTCGCTAAAGAGCTAATCGGTAGGGTACATCGGCGAAAGCGTGAGAAGCTGTTGCTAATGTAGCTTTTTTCTTCCTCGACCGACTCTTGCCAGTTACGAGAGAACGTTGGTCCCTTCGGGATTCCCTGAATTCACAGGTCGTTTGTCAAAGATCTGGCCTCATGACCTATATCTATTCAGAGTTTTTAGTGGCTGGGAGAGGCATCGATGTTCTCAGATGATTTGAACATTCCGTACTCACCTTTTAGACTGAGGACCGACTGTTTCAGCAGCATTCTTTGCCGTTACCATGGGCCGTATGCAACTATCTGCTTGTAAGATTAGGGATTAGAGACCTTCAGACCGAATGCTTATAGATGCGCTGTTGGGATTTTTTGAACGGAGCACGAAATTCGTTCGGAACTTGTCAAAGGAGTTCTTGTGGGTGTCGCTGATTACGACGATGTCACAGTGTCTTTCCGTCATAGCTGCTGAAAGAGGAAAAGGCTACGTTCAAGCTTTTTTCCCCTCAGCTGTTAGTAGAAGAAATAAGAGATAAAGGATGAAGTCTACGAGCGTTGATCGATCCCGTTTGAGGGATGCGCCCTCTCACTTGAATTCCAATCACAATCGCAGTGGCGTAATGCTTAGTGGTGCGTACAATAACTTGCGGTGCACAGCCGATGCCCAAGAGCTTTTATCCTCCCAAACGGGTCTAGTCCAATTAATCGATCCCGGAGGGGTGGAAGGCTTAGTCGGCCTTGAGGGATATCGAGCTGGTATTCGAAAAATCTGAACACACGTAGATCAAGAAAGAAAGGGTAAGGCGATAGCCATCTATGCCTTCTGATACAGCCTAATAAAAAGGGTGAAAGAAGCTTTTCCCTGCTTCAAGTCACGCTCGAGGCGGCACTGCAGCCTTGTATTCCTGGAGGTGCTTTACCGATCGGCGAATTGAGGTGATTTGAACCAATTCGGAGGAGCACCATTTAGGGATAAGGTGTTTATACTGATGACCTTTCCAGGTGCTGCTCTGCTTATGCCCCTAAACCGAATTTGCATAGATTCCAAGTGAAGGACAAACGAATCGTGCACCCTTCGGAAACTTCTGTTCCCACCTTAATGCCCAATCAATCAAAGAACTACTATAAGTAGGTAAAATTGAACCAATATGGTTAATGACCGGCAGAAATGTCAAACAAATATCAGAGCTGCCTCCAGATGGTCAGACTTCTTTTCAGCTGAAGTAAAGAATGAACCTTTTTGACCATTTTGGAATGACTTTCATTCAGAATCGTAATTGCGTTCGAATATTTGGCCTACGCAGTAACTTGAGGTGCTAGCCAATACGAAGTCACCATTTTACAGTTCCATGTGGGACTGCTATCCATTACCTTATCTCGAAGAGAAGGAAGGGTCTTCTGAAACAGACATGGATCGTCAAGATTTCAACTTCCAGGTCATAGCTGTGATGGCTGCTCTTCTTCACTCCATACTGGTGACCTTTCCACTTCAATCCATAGTAGAGCGCAAAACCTCACCACATAACACAATACTCCCTTTAACTGACCAGCATGACTCTTTCTTCCAAACTGAATCAACAGTTTACATAAACCTTTGATGATAACATTTGATTATATGTTGACTTTGTGATGCAATGCTACTTCGGGAAGCCTTACATCAACTCTCCCCATTCAGGCAGTTGTCGCGCTCCAAAAAGGCCGCAACGCGGCCGCCGCTACTTATTTGTCTAACTGCCGATTGATTCATCTAGTATTACGCATCGTTTTTGCATCGAGAAATTCTCCAAATGGTATTTCAAAGGTAGTGCAGTTTTAGTACTGGCTCTTCATTCATTTGTTTGTTTTTATATTCCCATAGTCGTGCTACTTTTCCTATTCCATGATGTATGCCTCTGCGAGTGTTTATTCCTCCAATTAGGAAAATAGTCTAGTCATAAGGATGCTTAATAAACTTCAGGGCTGCAGAACATTGTTTTAAGTTTTTCAAGGTGGACAGAGTGTCAATTCTACGGATTCTTAGGGATGTATAATCGTTTGATTACTTACGGGTTTCGAGTTTATGTCGTTTTGTTTCTTTTGCTATCTTCTTTTTATTTCATATTTGGACAAAAATTGTTCCAGCTATGTTTTGATGTTTTGAAATTGACTTGCTTTTTGTTGTCTCCTATATCAATGTTTGAAGGTAATAAGTGCATATCGTTCGACTGCTCCCATTCGCGTTCGAGACACAGGAGTCGAATTCAGAAGAGGATGGTTCGTTAATTTTTATATATCAATGTTTTCCCTCTGTTCCCGTATTCTAAAAAGTCAGGTTATCAATCAAGTTTATGTATATATTCTAGGACAATGTTTTTGAAATGTTTTCAGTTATGTATTGACCATAAAAAATACTCGGGCACCTAGTCCATATATATAGATCACCTTGAAAGGCCAGTGATCTCTTCAGATTAGTGTCTGAAGAACTTAGAAAAATAGAATGAATTGATAGAAATTAGTCTGTTACCATCTCAGTAAAACTACCATAACAAACCGGAACAGGTGTAATGGGTGTTTCTCTGTGATTACCTTCAGTAGTTCTCATTTGTTCAGAGTGCAACCTTACAACCCTACCTCGAGGCGGTTCGACATACCCTTCAAGCCGCGTTGTGCCTCGAACAGTTTAGCTCTCAGGTTGTAGAGAGGCATATGAAACCGGAGGTACGAGTTTTCTATTCTGTTCCTTTCTGTTGTTTGATCATCTCTTACTTTAATCGGTATCAATGTCGAGCGATATAGCTAAGCGATGATCGTCAAATTTTGTGAAAGGGTCTGTTAAGAAGTATCGCATGTTTTGAAATACAGGACTTTTCTTGAGAACTTCCCATTTCAACTTGCTTCTTTCCCTTTTTGCTGATGTATAATTCACCTTATGTGTGCTCATAACTTTTCATGTATCACAATCAATTTCAAAGTCGACTAGTTCAGTGTAGAATCAATTTACACATATTTTGCACAGATTTACTATTTATCATAACAACCACTTAGGTCATCCATCGAAATTTCAGGTTGAAGTGCGTACTTCCAAAGAACTTCTGATGACGCCTGTTGTTGTCGCGCGAAACAAGCAAGAACGAGTTCTCATAGAACCTTCCATAAATTCTGTGAGGTATGTGTTACTGATGCTTTATCTTTCATTTTCTTTGTTGCTGGCGATATTACTTATGTTCTTTTTGTCGATTGATGGTTTTTCGATTATGATGTCCCTGGACTTTCAGAAGTAGCCATATTCACACAGTTTTAATATCTTCTACCAAAACCTTCTCTAGTCTTTCATTTTTCGAAATTAAGTTCTATTCTCTTTTCTATATGTTTCCGTGTTCATTTTTATGCGCATGTCTCAATGAGTTCATCGTTCTAGAGTATCTATTTCAATAAAACAATCGGACGAAATCGAGCGTATTCTTTGTCATAAGTTTACTCGATTCATGTGTCAACGAGCAGACAACTTCTTTGTTCTGCGGCGAAAACCCATACCTGGTGAATGAATTTTTATGCTCTTTGAGTCATTCCAAGCTGTTTCTATTTCGTTAGTTTTTCCTTTGCAAATTCTTTTTTCAGGATATGACATCTCATTTTTGATCACAGCATCACATACAGAAACTATGTACAAGCACAAGCTAGTGGATTTCTTACTCCATTTCATGCAGGAAATCGATAAGGTGTGTTTTGAATATAATGACTGCTGGGTGGTCCCAGAAAACCAGTGCTCTTGCCAACCATGGTAGCTAAATTAGGGGAAATAACGGATGTAGGCCCTCTGCTCAATCTACTTTTTGCTAAGTTTCACTTCGATTCCTTAGGTTGCTTAGAAAATTGTGCCCATTAGTTGTTGCCCTGCCTCTATTACTTTTTGCTTACAGTCATATTCATTCTTGATATTAGAAGCCATGCAGCGTTTTGTAGCGCATCCGCTACAATACTTATTGTTAGTGCCAGGGTGATTGATTACCAGTAATCGATCAGTACGAAGACTTGAAAGTTAATGTCTTGGCAGAATTCTCGGTAATCTCACTTGCCTTACGCAGTAACTATACCTTTACTGACCTTTAGTTTTTTGTGGGTACACCACTCATTTCTAAAATTTATTTATCAACTAGCGAGGCCTACTTCGGTCACACTTACATTAGCATTCTTTACATTTTTCTTTGTAGAAATAGCTCTCACTTGGTGAACCCTGCGATTATTTGAAAATAGTCGAGAAGAGCAGTTCATTTTCAGGAAATTAGCGACATGAAATTGGCGCTGAATGCTAGGGCTCGTGTGTCTGCCGAGGAATTTCTCAAGCGTTTCAATTAGGTATGGGGCCTCCTTAATATTCATGAGTATTGTGTCGCTTATAGACTACGCTCAAATATTTTGGGACCGTTGTAGTGCTCAAATGGAAATCTGTTCTCAACAAGTGTTATTTTCTCTCACTGGGCATATCACTTATGCGGAAAATTTTTTACCGATGAGGCAACTGCTGCCTTGATTCTTCTACATTTTTTCGTTTTTTTTTTGGTCTTCTACTTTCTATCGCAGCAGTGAATTGGTATTGTATCCAACATAATTCGCTGCCTTGATGTTGCTTTTTTCCTTCTGAAGACAAGCTAGTATCAGTTGTTTACAAAAGTTTTTTACCAAGAAACTTGACAGATTTGAGCACTTTCACAATAATATTATATATCAGTTTTGTCAGCAGTCAAAAGTCTATGCTTTATTTACAACTATGCTACATTTGTACCTATACGTCGCTGGATCCATGTTTGATGGTGATTTAACTCCTCTTAATCCCACCTGTTTCTTTTAATTCAAATGTTGACTGGTCAAAAGAACAGCTAATTTTTCATAAATATTTAATATGTTTCGTTGGTGTATTTTGAGTGGTATCTAACCATATTGAAGTATCTCCGTGGTTTTGGAGTCATCCAACCGTTATTTGTTCATTGTTTCTTCTCAGAATGAGGATATTGGTTTCGTTCTCTATATTTGCTGTAGTGGTTTTCGCTACTGAGGAACTGGCGACCTCTGAACGAACCGCCTTTACTGTCGAAGGAAATGTGAGTTTTTTATATGATATCGGATTTTTTCTTACCCTTCATTCCTACTGTTTCATCCCACAAGGTTTATTTAGCTTTGCCTTTTTTTTTACTAGATGCTGTTTTATTCTTGCGACTATCAAATTTGTTCCCCAATATGGTTGACGGTATAATTTCTGGCTGATTAAGTAACTACTGAGAACTCCTCAGTTATTTAATCAGCCAGAAATTATACCGTCAACTTCCAACTTGGGGCTTCCATAATCTTGAGTTCGTTTCCATTTTATCTTAAATGTTTCCTTCAGCTATAAACTTACCACTCGTCTGTTATGAAATTCTTGCTCAGAAAATATTCCCCGTCTCCATTATTTCAAATATTTGAAAAACTACATTCTTAGGTCATATTCCCTTCATCAGCTACGATGGGTCGCAAATGGGCTGCCAACTCTCGAGTGCTTTTGAATCATGGCGAATACATTGGATTTGTTCGTGAGGATGGGTCGTTTGTGGTTGACAATGTCCCAAGCGGCAGTTACGTTGTTCAGGTAGTTGACTTTGCTACAAAACAAGATTGGCCTGGCTAATCTATTTCGCATTTCGATGGTCTTTTCGAGACTCCGCGGTCTCTGACATTTTTTTTTGATTGATCCTCTTTCGAAGCTGTTTTCGTTCAGGTAGAGAACGTGGATTTCGTATTCGAGCCTATTCGTGTGGATATTACTGCAAAAGGCAAAATTCGAGCGAGGAAGCTGACTTTACTGCAGGTAACTGTTCTTAATTTCTTTGAGCATATGATTCACTCTATCTTGGGCCTTTATTACAGCCAAATGTAGTTAATCAGTTACCCTACCCGTTGAAGTTGAGCTCCCGGGAAGCCACACGGTATTTCCGTAAACGAGAGGAATGGCGAATTACTGATATGCTCATGAACCCTATGGTGCTTATGCTGGTTGTGCCGCTCGTGATCATGCTCATCATTCCAAAGTATGTTTTGGTTTTCGCTGAAATTGTGCCATGCTGTTTTAGGTTCGTACAAAGGATGCTGATGAGTTTCAAAAAAAAGGCCTGCGTGTAACGCAGTAGCCAAAAAAGTCTGTAAAAAAATATATTGTGTTAACAATATCTCCGGACCAATGCGTAGCCTTAAGTGTAACTATTCTGTCCGTTTTAAACTGCCCACGACCGATTCTGTAACGTTGTGCCGTATTCCCATTTGTAAGTTAATCGAAGAACTAATCCATGTGTGTTTGAATGTGTGCGAACGACAACAGCAATTATGCAAGGTCTCAAGTGAATACGTGATGCAGCGCGATGTTTGACTAAGCATTTACGCCCGATTATGTTAAATCGGCAACAGGGACTTGCGAACGTCGCGATTATTGATTGACCATACAGTTTATGAGAAAGTGTATTTGTTCTTTTAGAATGACCGCAAATGATCCTCAACTACAAAAGGAAATGGCTGAAATGCAGCTTCCAAAGGTATGCGGCTTTTCATTTTGTTCTTTTTTTTCTGTTGAAAGAGAAGTTTGGGAGTGTGAAAACCGGAGCTGCTTGGGATGGCATTATTCATGATGCACACCCATGCGTCGCTTTTCCGAGCTATATCTAGGGGGTGTAGATAAAGCCCAAATTCATTTGAAGCGCTCTTGTAACTAACCTCCGCATTGCGCAAACCTTTTTCTTGGAATCAGATGGCCGCGATTTCCATGTGGCAATCACTTAAGCGTCCTTTGCTTCTCCAATTCTGGTGGTGGTCGATGGATGGGCGAGAAAAATCGGCTAATGGAAACGCTTTTACAGATGGATATGCCTGACGTCAGCGAGATGATGGCAAACCTCTTCGGTGGTGGTGCACCGAAGCCAAAGAAAAAAGCAATTGCTGGAGGGCAGCAGAAGAAAAAGTGAGAGCTTTTCAACTCTTCCCAGAAGGATGTTGTAATACTGGGAAGTATGATTTTTCAGCAGATAATGACAAGTAGAAGTCTGTGTTAAATATATGAACTCATCCTTTGCTCATGGGTCAAGGAACAGTCAACGTTTTCTTGTCTTATTCAGCGAATTTCCAATGTATGTTCTATTTGTCTGTGACTGATCCCCTTTCTAATAATAACTAGTGAGTGTTGTATTAATTAGTGACAGCTGTAGATGTCACGGGTCTGTAATATAACTCTATACACTGTTTGTGATGCGCACTAAGTCATTCGACTGAATTCCATTGTAGAATAGAGTTTATAGCTCTTAAATTGTGTGCAGACGCAAAATTGCGCCAATTCGAAGTCACCATCGGTTGCCTATAGCAACGACCCTTTGAGAAATTCCTCGTTTGTGCGTGTATACTCGCTTTCATCTTTTCCTCAAAATTGCACCTATCCATGATTTAGAAATAAATACTTATTATGTTTGTTCTGAAGATTTCGCAATGTTGATATGCTCGGGTTTGTTTTCAATGGAAAAGGTCTAGGAAGTGCTTAGAAGGTGTTTATTGTATAGGAAAGTTTTTTCATGGAAAGCACAGGATTTTGCTATTTTCACAGCCTGTCTATTTCTATTGTCCAGATATTCACTAAGGGTACATGAAGCCTGTTTTGTGAGGAACTATACCTTTTAGGGGAAGCATTTCTATTCCTATACGACGATCAATATCCAAATGGCCTCCCTTATTCCTTTGAAATTCCCGAATTGAAGGTTCTTAAGCCTGACTGGGTCGAAATGGAAGGGGTCGACTGAAGAGATTTCAATGTTCGTAATAGCGTTATTAAGCACGAAAAAATCCTGCTTCTGAGTGCCTTTTCTTCTTTTTCTTTTCAAACCCGTAGAGGAAGAGTAATAATATTTGCAAGCAAAGCTTATTCGAATTACTCCCTTTATTTCACTTTTTACATAAAACTCAGCGCGATATCCTCTTCGCTTACATTTCTAGTAACCTGAACTTTAAACTAATACGTAAATCAAGTAGAGACTTTCGTACCACTTAATGAGGCTTCTAAAAGTCCACTGTTCCGCTCTGCATGAGCTCTCCTGTCAACATTTTCGGTTTTATTTTGATTCTGACAAATGAACATCATCTTTTCGCTCCAGTGATATACAGTTACGTGAAGCCTTCCAGTGTATGCTGGATCTGTCGTTGAGTACTGTGATGAAGGCTATTTGCGGGATGACACAATAGAGCCACTCCGAAGAATCACTGTTACTTCTTCTTGCCAGTTATACTTGTAGAACACCTAACTTAAAGACTACCATAAATTCCCTATTCCTTATGCTGAGACATACTCGGCGATATTGCAACCGTCCATGCAAGGCGTGACACCTTTCTTTATACAAAGCGAAAAACTGCATATAGAACTTGGTATAAAGTAAAGGGCAGTGATGCTGTAGTGGTAACCGGCGCAGTATCGCCCACGCACGGTCACGGGTTCGAATCCTGGATCGATATTCTTCTAGGCCAACTGAGCCCTCCATAACCCCAAGGTCGGTTGCTTGAACCAGATTCGTCTGCAGGGTAAAAACAGTGAGTCAAACTTCCGCTATACTTTACTTAATGGAGCAGTGCTGCAGATTTTTCTCATAACCTTCGATGAAATGAGGAGTGCACCATCTTTGGCCAGACAGCTGCCCCTGATCAGAGGAAAACAGCTAGAGAGAGCTCTCGAGTCACTAGTTATCAGGTGGACAAGCGCCAACAAAGCGGCCCCCGACCGTAATGAATTTGCTCCTGAAATGCACCACGTATCCGACTGATGTTCGAGACCGTGCAGATGCTTGAAATCTCGAGTGTATCCCTAACTTCTTGGGATAGTCTGTCAATTTTGACGCTCCCTTGTCAAGCATATGCCAGCATCTATCCATCCTGCAAAAGTTTGATAGAATGGAAAGAAAGGCTCAGTGTTATGATTAGGTGTTTGACTGGATTGAAAGAAATTGAAAGCGTTATTGCCCTCTATCTAGCTCGTGCTTTATTTTATCCGATAGTCAGACAGACCTATGTTTGGATTTCCAATCTGTCAGAAAGGAAATGATTTCCATGTGAAAAGTCGTCTTTTCATCGTGAGGGCAGAGGTTCCGCGTTTTCATCTCTACCCTGGGGATTCTCCGCCTATTCGGATCGCTACAGTCTTATTGGTGAGTAGTTAGTTGCAGGAGTGAACACTATTGACCGACAAGTTAGCCAAACACAACGAATCTACCAGTCAATTTCTCGATTGCTTTTCTTCACTAAAAGTATATTTCGAGGCCGAGTTCCGAACTAGTCGGGACTATCGAGGGCCTGAATTAATCTGGCAGTAATTACATCTTCACCTAGCGACCTCATTTTCCTTATTTTTCTTAATCATCTAACAAACTCACAGTGAAATTTGGAAGTGTCAGTGCTGGGATCGCAGGAGAACTTCATTCATTGATTGAAGTAGTTGAAATAAGAAAAAAAGCGGCTAGATAATTGTGATATCAGCTCCTCCCGGATATTCTCCCAAACATGACATGCGGTCTCACATTTCTCTGTTATGATATATGTCAGACTGGTGATGCTCGTTAAATGGGATAATCCGTCGCGGTCGTTTACGGCTGTCTCAGCTCTGTGTGAAAGCCGCGTATGGGTAAGGTGCCGGTCGCTTTACGTTACGTTGCGCAATCGTAGCCGTGAAACTCGACCGAACAATAGCTGCCTTACTAACAATGGAACTAACCGGTAAGCGGTACTGCAAAAAATAAGTGATGACCCACTACCTCTCATTCACAAACAGCGCTAGTATTCTGATCCGTGGGTAATGCCATTTCCTGCGTCGTTCTTCATACTGAGTCTCAGGTTCAGGCTCATACCTTGCTGACTGAGGTGCAGAGCAAAGAAGACGATGTTGCTGAGCTGAAACTGTTAAACTTCCCGTCCATTCCAACCAGGGGGCCGGCAAATGAGTTCTTCAATAGGGCATTTTGACCTATGACACCTTCGAATTAGGTGTACTGAAACCTTGACCCAGTTCTCCAAGCTTCTTATTCGGTACACCTCCTGTGACCTCTCCGTGGAATGGACGCTATCCCTGACAATCTGCTTAACCCTCATACACCATAAGTTGAACTCCCGTAACCTAATAGTAGCGACAAATGGTCACGGGCCAACGCAGCGATGCGAACGAATCCCCGATTTCAGTGATTGATTACGGTAACCGAGATGAAAGACGCCGAAACACATCGCTTACGTCAATGCCGATCGCATTACGGTATGCAGTAGTTTGAATTATAGAAAGTGAGCTTAATTTCATAACTGGTACACTGCTCCACTCTTTATTTTTAACGAAAAATTACTTCTTGTTGGAATTCAAAATTCAGAGTTAAATTAACTGATTAATTAAACGTAAAAAGTCTCTCGATTCATTTCAAAGTCCCTTACCAAGACCCGTGAGCATTTGCAAAACTTAGGTTTTCTTCTGTTTTTTAATGGCCTCATTCTTTCAAGAAAAAATGATGGAATGAAGAAATCGCCTTCAAAGTCTGGGCATAAATTCTCAGCCATGACACTATCTAAATCTCAAATGTCCTGGTGAGTCGTTACCAGTGGCGGAAACTTAATCTACCACCAACTTTACACTAGTAGTACTATCTTATGTTTAACTATTTATTCATACAGCTTTTGTTTACATTATCCCATGATTTTATTTATTATTATACTTTCATTCACCACATTACTTTCCATATTATTTCAATATTTCATTGATCAATCGATTGTTTTTCATATCAACAGAGACTACATTTGGTACTTTGCCGATGATTCCACATGAACCTGAATGCTCTGTCGACCATAGCCAGGGGCACTGCTAAGCGAGCTTTGCTACTTTTATTCCAGGTGCAAATGGGTTTCCTTTCAACGCTTTCACAAATACTCGGTGTTGGGCGGAGGCAAGTAAACGTGATCGTTGTTGGATTGGATAATTCTGGAAAGGTGAATCGAGATTTTTTCGTAGGAAATCATTTAACTACAAATAGAAGAAATGAAAAAATCGTCTCAATACGAGATATTTCTAGTTGGCAAGGACCAAGCCTCTATCTTCCAGTGCTGAAATTGTGAAAGGTCTCTTCTGAAAGTTTTCACCGGTTGACCGTTCATTTGTTGCTATTTCAAAAGACAAATCGAAACGGCAGTCGTACTCTTAAAAATTCAGCAGAAGTAGACATCCATTGCAGCGCTGGAGGTTGATTGAGTGATATGAGAACGGAATGAAAGTAACAAAATCACTCATGAACCAGTTTCTCTCCTAACCCAGAGCTAGTCTCACGCTAATTTGCTCTTATTGTATCATTTTCACTTATTTAAACTTTACATTTTATTATATCCTTTACGTAGGCTGAGAATGGCTCATCTTCATGTCAGTGTTGGTTATTCTTTGCTCACTGGCTCTCCAAGTCTTCACTTCTGCCTTGTTATTCTGAAATAATTCTTTGCCATAATTCAACAGCGCATCTACTATAGAAATTGAGATTTTCATCATTTTCAACTTCCAGTTATCCTTCTGGACTTGGTCGTCTATATTACCTCTTACTTTCCCATTCGAGATAGGTGATTCTGATTCTTTTTTCTGTGCCTTATATGACCTCTTTTACCACCTTCTCGTTGATCATAACTTTATTTACTTATTAACCTAATTATTTATATGAAGTTCTTTTGAGTATTTCGATGTCCTTGCTGAACCTTTCAATGAATTCTTCTGAGCCAAGGGAATCGACTAAGCTAGGTTAGGGAAGGTTTCTGTTCCCTGAGGACCAATTACCATTTACGGATGGGAGTTTTGTGGGATATCCTATTTTGAAAAAGCTCAGTAGATCAATGAAGGCTGTACAGCTACCATCAGATACACCGTGGCAGACTCGAGTTTAAGACCACTAGGGTACGAGATCAAGCAACAATTACCAGAGGGGGTGGTAGAACGCCTGATCGAAAACAGGAATTCTCGTTACAAGAACATCACGGTTTTCTCTGCGTATCTTTGGCAATCGAACTATTTTTATTTCGTTTTCATGGTGCCAAGAACTCTCATTTTTAAGAACGAACATTGAGTTCAACTTCGATGATGTAAGTACCAGCCGAAAAATCCAAAAATCCAAGCCTAATGGCCCCTTCAAAACAAAACATGGATCAGAGCGAGTTCTAGACAGAACTCGAATCTTAAGCGATTGGGAAAGGAGTTGGGAAATGGCCGATGCATTTTTATATTTAATTTATCTACAGTTTCAAATTGACGTTTCTATTTTTAGACGACTATGTTGAACTATTTGCGAACGCCAGAAACTCGAACTAGCCAGATTGCACCGACGGTTGGATATTCTGTCACCAATTTCACTACAGAAAGTTTCAGTTTTACAGCTTTCGATATGGCTGGACAAGGTGAGCGTGTATGTAACGAAATCCCGTGCATCCGAACCTTTCTATTCAGATGATCAAATGGTAAGAGAGTTATTTCCTTACCCTTAGAACCCTTAATATCGTATGTACCTGAAAAGTGGGATTAGAAAACGATACCCCGCTTACAGCATCCGCCTATGACTGCTGGAGTCTTGAGTTTGATCCCATCGAGGCAGAGTGAATATATGGGCAGGCGACTGTATTCCTTCAGAGAAGAAAGTCATCAAACGGACCTACTTAGGAAGTGGTTAAACTAAAAATGTAATAAGTATGAAATAATAAAGAAATGGAAAAATTATATAGAATTAAAGAAAAATGATTTTCCTACAACAGTCGTCACCACTTCTCGATTAGAAAATGGACATATTTCTGTAGACTTTCGGTTTTTCTCAACTGAACCCTTTAAGCTCCTTATATCGTCGTGACGGGAGTTTTTCAATACATCCCCCAACCCTCTTATTTTGCATTCATATTCTATGCCTGTCCCAGCTCCTTTACCGAAAATTCCCAAGCATTCGCCGCCAGCGAATCCGCCTGCCGGCCTTGCATGGTCATAAAACTGTACCTCAGTGGTGACCATAAACTTTTCGCCGCGGGAACTACAACTGTAGTCGTAGTGCCTTTGGATGTTGGTAAATCATTAGCAGTTATACTGCTCATGTTGCTTGCTATAGGAATTGATGCATTGACATCACTCATATTCAGGAAAATACCGTAATCTCTGGGAGACGTACTATCTGAATGCGCAAGCAGTGATTTTTGTAGTGGATAGTGCTGATCGGTTGCGAGTTGCAGTGGCACGAGATGAACTGTGGATGATTCTCGATCACAAGGATATCACTGGACGACCAGTGAGTTCGAATTCGTAGTCTTGTGAGCCAGATGTTCTGGAAGGTAAAGTTTAGATCCCTATCCTGGTGCTAGCCAACAAAATGGACGCTAAAGACGCAATGGCTGCAGCTGAAATGTCGACCAGCCTCGGTTGGTTTTCCTTTGAATATTCCAATTTGATGTTCCCAAAAACATCAGGATTTACCTTCGGGCAAGCAGATGACTGAAAGAGCAAAGTTCCATTGCGTTAGCAAGTCTTTGAAATCACCGTAGTTCCTAAGAGATTGGTTCTATACCAAACCCCTCGCGGATTATTTTCGTAGTTGGCCATCTCTTTCTCTATCAGGGAGAGTGGTTATTACTGTAAAGTGCTGAGGTTAGTGAACTCTCCCATAGCCGAGCACTTACTGGCCACTCTAACTATCATACAAAAATTGGGAAGTTCGAGCTTCTTCTTCCTCAGCGATTGTTCATGCCCCATTTTTTCAGTATTTACGGATCACAAAGAGCTCATTCTGAGCCGAACCTACGCAAAAACCTACCCCTTGACAAGGAGAGAGAGCTGAGGCTTCTTGGTAGTTGGAACCAAAGATATGTTCGGAAGCATGTGGTCCATCTAGAAGAAAGCTCCTCAGTGGGCGGTTTCACCCAGATGCAGTTGTTGTTTTCCTAATGTGCATATGCTACCTGATTATCGAGAATCTAAAAATAAATTCCAATTTCAGGTCTTGATCTGATCAGAGGCCACAAATGGAATATCCAGGCTACATGCGCTCTGAATGGAGCGGGAGTTCAACGGGCCATTGAATGGCTGACGAAGGAGATCAAAGCATATTTGGAGTCGATGAAATGAATCTACGGGAATAAAGAAATTGATATTACCACAATTCACAACAGAAGATAACAAAGGACTCCTTGAAAGGGCCTTTGCAGTCAAGCAGCACCATGACTCGTTCCATCAAGCTTCCAAGCCTCTGAACTACTGGTCCTTTACGCTGAATTTCAAGGCCATCAAAAGTCCACTATGCTTCATGCCAGTGCCTTTTCCCTGTTCACAACTAGCTACTGGTGACAGCATTCTGCTTTACAGAGTACTGTATAAAAATATAGCTTAATGGTAACTGTAGCTGGTCGGTTCCAGCTGTGTTCGGGTATCGGTTACAAAAATGCACCGACTATAGTCATATGTAAACAATTGTAGTCTATGGGCTGGGCTACGGTATAATTCGCCATGTCTCTGAAAACAATCAAGTCGCAGTTCCAACTTTCAGAAAGGTTTTCTTAAACAAAATGTAATTGCGTCTCATTTCGAGAAAAAAAAACTCCGGATTCAGTGAAGGTCGAAAATGTAATGTGAAAATGTGATGAACATTCACTTCTTATGAGAAATTCCAAAGCAAACCCATTCGTGCAACAAAAAATCTCGGCGTTGACCCAGTTCTCTTTGAAAAAATTGAACCTATTCCCACTTCGTTAGGATTGAGGTGGCGTTTAAAAATGTATCCAGACTAAACAATGATTTGCGGGAATCGGCCTATGCATAGAACCATGTACAGATCATTTTGGTTGGACCTTCAGCGATCAAGCGTACCTGGAAGGATGGAAGACTTCATGTAGCGGCTCCTTCATAATACTGTCCAACACCTCTCATGCACAGCTCTTCGTAGAGCACCTCATTAATACTTGCCTACAATTTTCAAAACAACTTGATTGCATTGGGCCACCAGAAGAGAGTAGAATGTGGGGTTGGAAATCGAATTATGATAATCGGAGCTATCAAAAACTATTTGATTAGCTGTCTAGTAAGCTCAAGCACTACCGCTGTCACAGGCCGTAACTGATAGCGGCCCCTAAGAGGGTTACGTATTCCAATCCGGTTAATGACATCATTGACCTTACACAGAAGCTATCTAACTTCCCAGTGATTTACCGCTCTTCCACTTTGCTTCCCTCATTGTTATCTGTGATTCATATTGATATTATATAAAGCTAATTTGGGGTCGTTAAATTATTCGTTGAAAAAAAATTACAATGCCCTTTATTCCCACCAATTTTTCTGAAATGGGAATGCCTTTAAAATTCAGGGGAGACGATTCACAAGTTGACTGCGTCTAGTCAGTCGATCAGGGGTGAAAGTTGGAATTGAGCGCCTGGATCTTTGCTTGCTCTTTGAACTCCTTTTGCTGACTCGGAGAGACTTTGAGTATCCATGAGCAGAGATTAAGCCCTTTAAACAATCTCCCACCACCGAAGTTAACTGAATTCCAACAAGGACGGCGAGTTGTAGGCAAAACTTCGGCTGGAGCACAAACCCATGCTTGTGCTTCCCCTGCTTCACGGTAGCTTCTAATGAATATATTGTTAAAACGAACTTGCGGAATAATGTACTTGCTTCTGGCAGCACTTTCGTTTACACGGTTTTTCGTTCGTTTTCCTTCCGATCGTATCCGAGATCAACGATGAGCCCACTGATCCTTACCATCTCGCTTGGGTAATAAAACTCACGGCTAGTGATTGATTATGGTATTTGATGTGACCGACTGGCCACCTTGCGCTTCGAGTATTTCGAGCAGATCCTAATTCGTCGTGGATTGCGTCAAAGACGAGGACAAGGTCGTCCACAGATCGCATCCTTTCAGCAACAACATGGAATCTTCCGACGGTGACAATTCGCATTTCACAACTCTGCTTCCGTTTCGCCCTGTAGGCCCCTGATGGCACACAGGCTATGATTACTTTCGTAGTTGCAGTCAGTAAACTCATTGAGAGGTTCCCACTTGGGAAGGAACTGTTAGTATCTCACTCTCCGGCTCCTACATTAGAGACTAGGAATTCTTTGGACGATTTAACTTATGCTAAGAGGAATTCAATGAAACTTCCGAAAAGAGGGAAAGTTGAATTTCTAATCCTTGCTGAACATACACCATTCGAAGTTGATTCATCGCGGAATACGCCAGGAACTTCTCTCTGAAGTAAGCGATTGACTGGCGAAGGATAGAGACTCGGATGACGTCCAAGAAGGATTCGACTTTTGCGCTGCATTTACGGTATTGCTGGCATTTCCCAGTCCTCACCCCGACTTTCATAGGAATTTGGAAATTCCACAAGCTCCTGTAAGGACGCACTATCCGTTTCTCTAGAAGATACAAAAAATAAAAAAATACAAGTATGGTAAAGGTATCGAGATGACCTCCAAGATCATAAATCAATTACGCCAGTTGTGCAGCGATTGTATTTGCTGGTCTTCGTTCTTTCAGAAAGTACCGCTTTACAAGCAGGCCTGATAACCGCCCCGTTGTAGATGCCGTCAATGGTATACGGTAACGTCGAATAAGGCTTATGCTGATCATTCTTCAATTGTCTTGAACCCTCTTAGATGATCCTCTACCTCTTAGATGATGGTTGACCTAGCCTAGTGCAACTCTGAGCCTCGTTTACCCTTAGGTTCCAGCTGTTGCAGTACCCTACGGACCTTGAATGGAGGTCGAGCTCGTAACGGCGAGATCGTGTGCCAGACCTGTGAATTGTCTGGCTCCCATAGGCAAGTGGGCGGGGCTAAGGGAATTCGTAGGTAGAGCGTATCGTTTCTTTAGTATTCCTTTCCAATCCTCTACCCAGTTTTCAGGTGAGTTCTCCTTTTCCAAGTGAATAAGGTTTTAAAGTAGTAGCAGGAAAGTAGCTATCTTGGAAAGTCAAATGGAAACAGCACTGATTACAGTCACAGGATATAATCTATTCTGTGAATGGACTTCTACAGAAGTAAGGTATATTATTCGTAAACTCGTCCAAATTCCTTCAGTTTCCTGGACCGAGTTGCTGGAATGTCATTCTGTCCGATTAGACAATCCATTTTGTGTCGGATCTACCGTATTTCGAGGCAAAAAGTTCCTCCCAAAGTCTTTGTTAATAGCTTCCGTACTTGTCATTCACCTTTTATCAGACTGTTCACTGTCATGCTTCTATTCTCTTCATTTATAGAAATACCTCATGTGCACCGAAAGTGCCGATACCTTGACTTAGTTGAAAGCATAACTTTGACATTCCGTTGAAATTGGACTTCCTCTGGCCAACATTCACTTCATTATCCTCTCTGAAAATAGACATGGAATGCTTTGGAAACTGTCCATAACCTGGCTAGAGCCTTCAAGAAAGAGACTTTTCCACGAGTCGACACGAGAATACGATTTTCGGACTTTCTCGCAGTACTGTAAACTGTGTACTCTGAGACTACAGGAATTTAAAAAATCGAATTCCTAGTTTTGCTTGCCTCACGTAGGGGTATGGATCATGATTCTCGAATTGACATCACTCTACCTTTATTTTCTACCGTTCTCATGTTGTTGTGCGATTATACATTTCTGGTCAGCGATCAAATAAACCTCTGGTAAGTTGATCAGGACTCGTTTAGACAGTCCGTTTAACAGCCAGGTTCCACCTTGATAATTTCATGTTTATGCTGCACATCCCAAGTGTAGACGCTATTACAGTTCGTGTAGAATTGTGGATTTTATCAGTGTTTGTAGGTATGTGCCATGCTTCCAAACTCCTTTCAAAAAATCGATACTGATTCTTTACTTACTTCCTTGATTTATCTTTCCTCGAAAACTCGTCAATTTGAGAAGATTCAAAGTCACATATTAGTTCACATGCACGAAGAGCATTAAGAAGGAAACACTTTCATTGAAGAAGCTCTGAAGTCATAGTCATTTCATTTGATTCAGTCAGCATTTGCTCATCCAGAAGAAGTTATCGAATCGTCTTGGTGAATTCTGAAGGTGTATCTGGTTTCTGATAACTTTTGGAAAGAAATACTTCCTTCCCACCTGACGGAGCGTTACGTTGCTGTCTACCTATTGAGTCCACTTTAGTCAACTTGTCCTGCTCCCCAGTACTGATAAGCCTTACCTCGTGTGCCAGTCACCGATCCCAGTCGTTTGTTGCAGCTCTTATCCGTGCAGCCAAGCATGCGCGCGAACCTTAGGCGACCGACCGTCAAGCAGCGATCCCCTTTACCGTTAATCCGCTTTTCGGTACGACGTACGCCACACACGTACGCCATTTTCTTTTGTCAGCTTTGATTAGCATACGCATGTTAATATATGCGTCCATCTCGGTTGGAGATATTTGTCTAGGTGTGCGATTTATGCATGGAATAGCTGTTTCTAGCCGGGTCATGGCCTTCATCAAAACTTGGACGTCATTAAGTGCTCTGCAATCACGTAACTAA